AACTATTTCTATATAATATATATTCTATCAGTATCTCTTTGCAAAATTAAATGATTGAAATGATTGAATGAATGATTGAATGAATGATTGAATAAATGATTAATTAATTGAATGAATGAATGATTGATTGAATCAGTTGTTATTAGATTTCACATGAATCTTAAATTTATTTTTAAATCTGATGATAAGAAGGAGGAGGAAAAAAAAACTCTCCACCTTAGTGCACCACGGTATGACGTCATCAGAAGTGGGTGGAGCTACTAAAAAAATCAAACTGGACCCCAACGATGATGATAATGATGAGAATGGTGATGTCCATCTTTGTGATCCTGATGATCCTGATAACATTGATGATGATGGGGCTGGTGGTAAAAAAAGAAATGAAAAACATGAAAAGGAAAAACCATTTTCCTCTTCTAAGTAGACTTTTGAAATTATTAAAAGTTAAATTATTTTTTGAAAGTTTTTTTTATTAATCTATAATTTTATAATACCTTCATTTTTTTATTTTAATAATATTAATAGTCTTTATTATTGTTTTCAACGTTTTTATTATTGTTTGGTTTTATGCTGTTTTAATTTTTCCTTTAGAAAAAATTACATTGTGAAAATCTGCTACCTAACAAACAAAGTTACCAAAGATCATATAATTGATATCTTTCAACAATTCGGCACTGTTGATGACGTCAAGCTCACGTCATCATCATCATCACAACCATCATCATCGTTAACAGCTACATCATCGTCATCATTACCAATCAATCACAATTCTACATCATTATCACAACCATCATCATCTTCGTCGTCGTCATTATTATTTCTTGAGGCATCAGTTTGCTATAGATCAAAATCCAATGCTAAAAAAGCCGTCAAGTATATGAATGGAGGTTATGATTCTGATTATAATGTGGTGATGATGATGATGATGTTGATGGTGATAATATGATGATGATGATGGTGGTGGGGGATATATGATATGGAATAATTTGTTTTGTTTATTTATTTTTTTGTCTTTTTTTTCTCTGCAGGAATGATAGATGAACAAGAGATCGAATGTGTTCTCGTGGGATGAAAGAAAGAAAGAATGAAAAGAATAAAAAAAATGAATGACTGAATGATTGAACGAATGCATGAATGGAGGAATGAATGTACGAACGAATGATGAATAAATTAAGAATGAAAGAGCCAATTTATTCATCTTATTACATCAAAAAACGTTGTGAATTAGTTTTTCTTCTATAAAAAAATAGAAAAGAAGATATAGTTTTAAATTTGGCATAATTACAACAAAAATAATAAAAATAATAATAATAATTTTTGTTATTATTTAATATCGACATTTGTATAGCGCCTCTCTTGAAAAGACCTCAGAAGCGCTTTCTATGATGCGCAATATTGAAGTAATGATGCTTTAAATTTTTCTTGAAAAGCTGTCGATTTGTGGTCAAACCATCTTTTAACTGCACTGGAAGCGACTTCCATATTCTAGCCGCCACCACAAAAAATCTTCGTCGCCCAAAATTTGAGGAACGGATTGACGGGATGACCGAATCCCCACGGTCTGACGACCTAAGTTGACGTCGGCCACGTACCTTTAAAACCGGCATCAATTGCTCACTCAAATATACCGGTGCATTTTGAACCTAATCCTTAGGGGATATCTCAACCAATGAAGCTCATCACCTATGTAAACCGAAATGGAGTGAAACTTTGAAACGCCGGCTATCATCTTGCTGCCGCGTTTAGTATTGATTGAACACAGTCCTGTAGAAATAACTTGGCTCCATATATTATCGAATTGGAGAAGTCAACTCTACTACAGACAAAACTGTAAACAAGTGCTTTTGCCGACTCCAGATTAAGAAACCGTCCGATAGTTCTGATTCTATGAATTTGGTCGAAACATTTCCGACAGATATTTTTTTACACGATCTTCCAATGACAGACGTGAATCGAATACCACACCAAGATTGTTCACCGGTGACGTGAAATTGTTCAGTAAACTCGATCTAGACTATTATCGTTGTTGTTAATGTTGATGTTATTACTCTACTGAATCTTTCCTTCTGGAGCGATTTATATGTAAACAATTTCGTAAATGCCTTATTGATGACGATGATTATGATGCTATTGTTATTATTATTGTCGTTATTATTGTTGTTGTTATTATTGTTTTGCTGTTGAACTGTTTCAATAAAAATATAAAAGTAGTTCAATATATCAATCTTGTTATTGTAGTTTGGATGGTTGGTAGAGCTCTATCTATATGTGAATGAATGAATTAACTCTTTCATTCATTCGTTAATTTGTTCATTCATTTATTCGTTAGTTCATTCGTTCATTTTGTTAATTTATTCGTTCGTTCGTTCATGGATTCGTTCAGTTTTTCTTATAAAAGTAAGGTCAGTTGAGCTATCTAATCTATGTGAATAATTCAATGAATCCTTTGAATCAATGAATGGATCCTTTCATTCAGTTTGTTCAATCAATCATTCGTTCGTTCGTTCCTTTCTTCACTCACTCTATCGAACGTTCATTCATTCTTTCGTTCATCTTTCTTCCCTCCATCCACCATTCAATAATTTTATATTAAATTCTTCTAAAAAAATAATTATTCTTACACATGAGCCATCGAAAAATTGATTTTAGAAAACCGAAACGGTGAAATTAATTAGTTTTTTCTCTCTCTTTTTTTCTTTCTCTCTCTGTCTTTTTTACTCTCTTTTTCAACTTAATTTCTCTCTCTTTCCTCTTGCCGTTCAACTTTATTTCATTCGTTTTCATTGAATTGAACGTTTAGAGTTAAGACTATCTTCTATCTTTCTTTCTCTATCACTCTTTCTAGTGCTCTCTATCTCCCTCTTCACTTAATTTTATTCAGTATTCTTCATGTAGATGAACCAGCGTTCTCTCCTTTATTTCATTCTTTTTTCTTCCCTCTCTCTCTCTTTCTCTTTTCTCTCTTTCTAACTCCGCTTAAAACGTTGCCTACTTCGAATAAACATTTTCAAACGTCCTCTCTCCCTTCCTCCCTCTTTCTCTCTCTCTCTCTCTCTCTCGAATTCAATTTAATTTTTATAATAGTTAGTGTTATTTCCTATATCTCATTATGTCCCTCTCTCTTTCTTTCTCTCTCTCTCACTCCCTCTCATTGCTGCTTAATTTCAGAGCGATGAATAGATAGGTAAACTGAATACTAACAGGCTTAGCAAGAATAAACATGATAATAATAATAAATAATAACAATAATAATAATTATTATTATTTTTACTCTTATTATAATTATATATCTAAATATACGAGTATGTGTATACTTGTATTGACATAATAATATAAACTATAATAAAGTTCTTATAATAAGTTTTCCTGGAAATTCTTTCAAACCTTTTTCTAGATTTTTTGAGACTACTCTTCGCTTCTCCATTACAAAAGGAATAATTTCAGCTTTTCAGTTCCACATTCTCCGTATCTCAATTTGAAGATTTGTGTACTTACTGATCTTTTCCGTGTCCTTTTATAAAACATTTAAATCGTCTAGAGCAGATATATCTATTAAGAGGCATAAAATTTTCGGCTTTATCTTGAACAATGATATCTGGTCTGTTGGTTTGGTTTGCTTCCATCCATCCATCCATCCATCCATCCATCCATCCATCCATCTATCTGTTATAACTGGTGTGTCCCATGAAATTTTAGCGTTGGTATAGTTTGTTACATTCTTCGATATTCTACACACGCGTATGTTTAATACGTGCACTCTAATTGACATGCATTCATTTGAAGATATGCGAGATATACTCTATCATAATAATTTGCAAATTATTATAACGCACCTAACTGTATATACACATACAAACACACAAACACAACACACAAACACACACACACAACACACAAACACACACACATAATTATCTATCTATATATATATATTCTGTAGTTACTAAACAAATATTTAGGCTTAAATAAGTCATATGGTTCTATCTGTGTGTATTTATGCATTATACATACATAGTTTATAACGGTATTTTAATCATCTGGCAAATTGTTTTGTAACAGTCTGTGTATATGTATGTGAGTGTATAAATGTATGTATGTATGTGTGTGTGTGTTATATTTGTGTGTGTGTATTATGTGTGTGTGTGTGTGTATATGTGATATATGTGGCTTATATATTGTATTTATGTCATGTTTATGGTATATATGCTTATTTAAAAGGTATATATTTAAATAAGCGATCTATATATTAATACATATTGGATATGTGTGTGTTTGTTTATGATATATACTGGTATATTTTTATGTATGTACGTACGTAAGTATGTATGTATGTATGTATGTATGTATGTATGTATGTATGTATGTACGTATGTATGTATGTATGTATGTATGTATGTATGTATGTATGTATGTATGTATGTATGTATGTATGTATGTATGTATGTATGTATGTATGTATGTATGTATGTATGTATGTATGTATGTATGTATGTATGTATGTATGTATGTATGTATGTATGTATGTATGTATGTATGTATGTATGTATGTATGTATGTATGTATGTATGTAGTATCTATGTATGTATATATATGTATTTTGTATCTGTGTATATATGCATACTAAAAGACGGCGTTTTAAGCGGTGTGTCAATTTTTGGTATAGCGAGCATTTATAAATGTAGGAATAATCATCATATTAATAGGAATAACAATAATAACAATAATAATAATAATCATAAATAATAATAATAATAATCATAATAATAGTAACCATAATTAACTTTTCATAGTAGGATATAGACGACTAGTTTGTTCTGCTATTAAAAATTAAACTATTATTACATAAACCATATGAGAATGTGTCATTGCTAGTAAATTGTTAATTAATTAATTACCATCGTGAAATTATTTAATTAATTAGTTGTTAAATAATACTTATTTTAGCAGTGATGTGAGAGGTAGCATTATTAATTATACCAGTAGCAACAACATCAACAAACATGGATAACGATTCGTCACCAAACATTCCAAAGAAGGTTTCACCATTTCTACGTTTACTTCAGCAGCGAAAGCAGCAACGACAGCAACCACAGCAGCCACAACAACATGAAAACACATCAACCACTCCATCGTCGAATGAGAACATTAATGTCTTTCAAAACAACAACAACGACGATAATAACAACACCAACAACACTAACAATGACATCAATACCAGCCCCATAGCAGCAGCAGCAGCAGCAGCAACAACAGACAACAACAACAACTTACCAACAATAACAACAACAGACAACAACAACAACAACCTACCAACAATAACAACAACAAATCCCGACAACAACACAACATCGGCATCATTTGATAGCACCTCGGCCCAATCAATTTCGCAGCCTCCCACACCGCAAACCCCTTCAGGCAGACTTTTAAAAATCCCCATAGCACCGACTTTTGCACAAAAGACAGTCACGTGGTTAAAAAAGTTGAAGATGACCCTTAAATACGACCCGTTGGCAGTTTTCGGGCTGTCCAATAAGTCCCCCATTGAACTGGCTGATATCCGGGAACAAGGTTGGTTAGTCGGGTTTTTTTTGAGTTGGGCAGTTTTGGGACTGAAACTTGGGGGGAAGTTTTTAAAAAAGATAACTTGAATATTGGATTTTAGCTGAAAGGAATAAATATATACTTAGAAATTTACTTGTCTGTTCTTTTTTTCAATTCGTCTATCTGTCTCTCTCTTTCTCTTTCTCTCTTCTTAATTTCTTTATTCAGTTTTAACCACATTATTATAATCTCTCTCTTTCTCTCTTTCTTCTCTTCTCTCAAAATCTTCCCATTTATTTCCCACTCCCCAACACGTAGGCAGAATAATCTTCGAAGACTTCATCTACATCCGTCTGAAAGAAGCCGCGTTTGGTCTGGAGCAGAATAGTGACGACGACGACGACGACGATGACGTGAAAGATGACCAACATGGCGGCTGTGATGACGTCAGACGCAGCATTCTGGAGCGCTCTATCTCTAGAAAAGTAAGAGAGAAAACTCGAAAAAATTCCTTCCTCGTCTCGAGTTCATCTCTGAATATTTCTACAAAAGGAGGTAACTTGAAGTTGGGTAAAAATAAATCGATGTCCGGCTTGAGTGCTGGCAACATTATCGGTAACAATGCAAAGTTACCGACCGGTTTTAGTAACGGCTTTCGTTCAGAGTTCGGTAGCCTACCGACCCCCACCACTTCCGGGGACAGCGACGGACCGATTAAAAAATCAATATGGCAGCTCGGAGCCGGAAGTGAGTTCGAGAACTGGCACAACAGTCACGTGACTACGCTGTGTGACGTCAGCAGGGAAATGCATGCCATTGGTCTGAAGTTGGAGACCATGTATCCTAGCTTGTACAAGTTCGTATTAAATAATTCATTTTACTATTAGTTTATTATAATTATTAAAAATTATGAATATAATTTTTATAAATTATTAATAATTTTATTGTTATAATTATTAAAAATTATGAATATAATTGTTATAAATCATTAACAATTGTTTTATCTGCGATGTTTTAATATAAAAAAAACTTGATAACTAAATTGCTTTGCTATATCCTCTCAACCAATCAAAAACTTAGGAACGTATCGGGGCGCGCCCATACCAACATCAGGAACGAATCACAGTGCAGGAAACTTGTGACGTCATTTGGTGATTTCATGTTTAAAAATGGAGTCGTCACTTGGGGCAGGTTGAAAATTAGATGAATGCATGAATGAATGAATGAATGAATGAATGAACGAATGAATGAAACATAAACCTGAAGATATGTACGGATGGATGGATGAATGACTAAATAAATTATAGATAGATGGAAGAAATTATTTAATAAATGAATAAATTGTGAATGAATTTGAATTCTTTAGAATAGTAGCCATGTTTGTTCTTTCATCTTCGCTGATCGTTGAATGCTGCCAAAACGGCGACTTCCGGTTTATAAAAACTGTCATGGCGGCTCATTCAGAAGTACTAGAAAAGCACGTGATCAACTGGATTGCGGAGCAAGGAGGATGGGTGAGATGGATTGATGAAATGAATGAACAAATGGATGGAATGAGTGAATGAATCCATGCATGCATAAATGAGAAAACAAAGAAGTGAATATTGAATAAACCAGGGGTTGGGCAAACTGTGTGCTGTAAGGGTCGCATTTGAGAACTATTTTACCTTTGAAGGGCCGCATATGTACTTAAATAGCAAATTTTTTCGACGAAGAGCGAACGAATAACGAATAAAAAAACGAATAAATTATTCACAATCATAAAATAATAATCAACCGTCATCACCATCGTCATTATCGTCAGGGTATTTTGACCAAAACATTTCGTGAAGTGACCCAAGAAACTAGAACGCTGTGGGCCCTACTGGGCTTGGGGGCTTCTGTGGGGTTTGCCGTCATGTGGGTGGCCATGGAACAGTTATGATGATGAAGGAGATGAAGAAGAAGAAGAAGATGAAAAAAAAGAGGAAGATGAAGAAGATGATGATGTTGAAGAAATGGAAGATGAAGATGACAGCAACTGCATCAACGTTGTTGATGATAATAACGGTGATTATGCTAATGATGTTATTATATATATATATTATATATATATATATATATATATATATAGAGAGAGAGAGAGAGAGAGAAGAGAGAGAAGAGAGAGAGAAAGAGAAAGAAAAAGAGAGAAAGAAAGAAAAAGGAGATAATGAGAGAGAAAGAGAGAGAGAGAAAGGGAAAAAGAGAAAGAAAGAGGAAAAATACTAAAACATGTACAACTAGCAATTTATCGTCTTTCCAGAAAAAATAAAAATATATTTTTATACATTTCTCAGATAAATATTTTTTTTTTAGAAAAATACACATACGCGCACGCACACGCGCACACACACAACAAACACAAACACAGACACACACAAACACACACCCAAACATATATACACAAAGTTTATTCATAGATCATTCCGTTACAGTTAATGCCTTTATATGCACACATGTATAAATGTTTATTAAATTTGTATTCTGTATACTTATACCAATAATAATAATAATAATAATAATTATTATTATTATTAATTATTATTAATTATTTATTTTAACAGATAGATAAATTGTTTTTTTTATTTTTTTAACGCTAAAATGAAAAAAATGTTGATATAAAGTCTCAAAAATCTTCTTTACGGAAATATGCATGGATGAGCGAATGAATGGATGGATGAATGAGCGAATGAATGGATGAATGAATGAATGGATGAATGAATTATTTAATTAGTAGATTACAAAACAAATAAATGAATAGTTAAACATATGCAGGACAACTAATCTATTCAAGCCATATTAATGTCACAGAAATTATTGACGTCATCATCATCCAGCTCATCATCATCACCACCTACATCTTCATCAATCACTATCACCATCATCATCGGCACAGCCAACACCATCATCATCATCACTAATTTTCTTTATTGTCGACCTTTGACCTTGCCTTCTTCCTGCCCACGATGACGATGATGATGATGATGGCCACGACCTCTACCAGAATTCCAATGAAGGGCCAGAGAGCAGCGTATTTACCTCAATAAATATTATTATTTATTATTATTAATTAATAATAATAATTATTATTATTATTTAATAATATTATTATTCATTAAGATTGTTTATCGTAAATTACTATTCCTTCTATTATCTTACTTGCCTGATTCTAAAACTCTTGATGTTTCTCACAAGTTTCGTAGTCTAGGCTTTATCTTTGATTCTAGCATGTCTCTTTCTTCTCAGATTAATAGTGTCGCTAGAAGCTCTTATTTTAATTTTCTGCGTAGAATAAAAAAAACTTGCCTTTTCTTGACAATCCTACTCTTCTCCTTCTTGTTACTTCGTTAGCCTTATCTAGGATTGGTTATTGTAACTCGCTCTACTATGGTCTTCCTGACTCTATACTCTATCATTTAAGTAAAGCTTTTAATCTGCTGCTCGTCTAGTTGCTCGTGCCCCTTTCTTTTCTCATATATCTCCATATCTTGCTCTCTTGCACTGGCTATCTATAAAATATTGAATAATTTCTAAAATTTGCACACTTATGTACAAGTTTCAATCTAAATTATTTCCCATGTACCTATCAGATATATAGTAATTGAACCCGGTTTACGATCGTCTTCTTGTTCTCACTTCTTCTTAACTCGTGTTAAACACTCCTTTGCTAAATCTGCTTTTGCTTTTTCTGGCCCTTTTCACTAAAACCCTCTGCCTTCTTCTCTGACTACTTCTCCATCACTTACGAAGTTCAGAGCGGATCTCAAGACCCATCTGTTTTCAAAATTCATTGAGGAGCGCTGTTGAACATTGCAGAAATAGCAATAAACTAATTGATTGATTGATTGTGAAGAATATTTATATTAATATTATTATTGTTGCTGATGTTGTTGTTTTTGTTATTGCAGTTTTTATTATCATTATTCTTATTGCCGCCTCTGTAATTTTCAGCCTCATCATTCTCATCATCCTCATCATCATCCTTATCATTATCACTCTCATCACCTCCCTCACTCACTATTTATCCTGACCATGATCTCTGAACTATTGCCCCCAACGGAATTCTCCAGGGTGCAGGAGTACAAACCCTGGTCGCTCGTTGCCACCCCACTGATCAACAGCCTCCCTATCCCGATGTTCACTTTGTTTTCCAGACTCGCCACGGCCCTTGGATCCGAGAGTGACGTCATTTCCGGTCCGCCATCTTTCGACCATTTCACTCTTGCAGGGGGTGGGTAACTGTAGCCGAAACATTCAAGGTGAAGGTCGTTTCCATCTGTTAGGCTTAGGTGTTTTGGTGCCTTCAACATTGTTGGAGGACCTTTTTTGGAGTTTTTGGTTTATGGGTGAATGAGTGAGTGAGTGAATGAATGAATGCATGGATGAACAAATAAGATTAGTGAATTAATAAAAGAATAGATGAATGAGTAATTGAATGAACTACTGAATTGATAAGTGAATGAATGGATACACAAACGTGAATAAATAAATGAATGAACGAATGAATGAACAAAGGAATGAACGGATGAATTAACCATTAAACGAATGAACAAAATTTAACCAATCAATCAATCAATCAACTAACTTTTCAGAATAAAGCTAAAGAATGAATCCAGAAAAATACATTTGTATGGACCCAAGTCCGATTCACCTTTTTGATATTAGTTGAATGAATGGTCAATTGATTCTTTGAATGAATGAATGAATGAATGAATGAATAAATGAGTAAATGAATGAATAAATGAATGAGTAAATAAATGAATGAATGAATAAATGAATGATTGAATGCTTGCTTGCTTTCTTGATTGATTGGTTGATTTGGTTTGTCAATCAGTAAAAGTAATTAAAAGTAATTTTATAACTATGTTTGGTTGGTTTGCCCCTACACACATACACCCACCCACCCACACACACACACACACACACACACACACACACACACACACACACACACACACACACACACACACACACACCCACAGAAACTTACTAGCAAAAGGATTCATATTTATTGTCATAGTTTTATTCGCGTGGTTCATGACGTATTTATTTCCGTTTTGCAGAATGACGTCATTTTTTAACCACGTGACGTTGCCGGAAGTATACAAAGGGCAGGTCAAGGTCACTGAGTTGTTTGACGTGTTAAGATGACGTCGGTCTCACCTTATTATTATTATTGTTTTTATTTGGTTTTTGTTGTATAATAATGCCATTATCACTATTACTACTACTACTACTACTGCTGCTGCTGCTGCTACTACCATTACCGCTACTACCACTTCTACTACTATTACTACTGCTATTACTACCACTACTACTACTACCTACTGCTACTACTACCACTACTACTAACACCTACTTCTACTACTACTACTACTACTACTACTACTACTACTACTACATCCACTGCTACTACTACAACTAACAATAAATATTATTAATAATTATTATTATTTTTATCGATAAATAATTATAAACGACTCACCGTTAACATCAAAGATGAAGATGATGAGACTTAAGACTAGTAGAGACAATTTCATTCTAGTATCTTTATTAAGTCTAAAATGAAACAATATTTTTTTATTATTAATTATGCTATTAGTATTATAATTATTATTATTACGTATTGTTATTTTTCAGTTTCATTTTATAATTTGAATAACTACATACTTATATTCTGTTTGGCTTTATGGTGAATGAATGTTTGTCGGTTTGTCTGTCTCTATGTTTGTCAGTCTGCCTGTTTGTTTCTTTGTATATGTATGTATGTTTATTTGTCAGTCTGTTTGTTTCTTTGTATATGTATGTATGTTTGTTTATTTGTATGTATGTTTGTTTGTATATGTATCAAACATTCAATCAATCAATCAACCAGTCGATCAAATCAATTAAAAATTAATTAATTAACGACAACCGAATACGCACCTTAAACAACAGCAAAAAAAATTAAAAGTTCAACCAACTGACTGAACTTTTGGCATTAATTTTTCTCTTTCTCTTTTACTCTTCTCTCTCTCTCACTCCATTATTTCAATTCCCCTCACTCCATTATTACAATCTCTCTCACTCCATCACCATCTCTCTCACTCCTACTGTGTGTGGTTGGAGCAGCGGTATGCACTTACGTATAATTGCGGTATTGATTACGTCATTGTTTCCTTGGATACCGAAACGCAGGTGACGCTGCGATTGATGATGATGATGACGACGACGATGGTGGCGGTCTTGATAGTGATGCTGAATGTGGTAATGATGATGATGATTATGTTGTAGATGACAATCAATGATGTTTAATTAGGATGATCTGTCTATCTAATCTATCTATCTATCCATCTATCTATCTATCTATCTATCTATCTATCTACCTACCTACCTACCTACCTACCTACCTACCTACCTACCTACCTACCTACCTACCTACCTACCTACCTACCTACCTACCTACCTACCTACCTACCTACCTACCTACCTACCTACCTACCTACCTACCTACCTACCTACCTACCTACCTACCTACCTACCTACCTACCTACCTATCTATTTATCTATCTATCTATCATAAACGAAAACAGCAGACGCAGACAAAATTAAATGTCAGTCCACTGGCGGTAAAGAAATTGAAACTGACCATTTCATCATTTATTATCAAGCAAGATCAATCAATCAATTAATCAATCAATCAATCAATCAATCAATCAATCAATCAATCAATCAATCAATCAATCAATCAATCAATCAATCAATCAATCAATCAATCGATCAATCAATCGATCGATCGATCAATCAATCAATCAAACAATGGTAGATGATTGTATGTTTATTAAATCACTTAATAATAAAAATCAAAAATAAAGAAATAAATTAATCAACCGATCAATCAATCAATCAATCAATCAATCAATCAATCAATCAATCAATCAATCAATCAATCAATCAATCAATCAATCAATCAATCAATCAATCAATCAATCAATCAATCAATCAATCAATCTATCAATCTATCAATCAATCTATCAATCAACCAACCATTCATTCGTTCGTTCATTTATTTACCCATCTATTCATCCAACTAATCAATCAATCATACAATCTACAAACCAAAATCATTATTGAAAGTTTAAAATAACAACAACAACAACAATAATAATAATAAATAATAATAATATTCGAACAATAAAAAGCTGAGACGGAGGAGAAACACAATATCATCATCTTCATTATCCATTATAAATATTAAACAAATGAATGAACGAATGAATGAATGAATAAAAGAATGAACAAATGAATGAAAGAATAAATAAATAAATGAATTAATGAACAAATAAATGAATGAATATATATTTATTTATAGCTTCAATGAATGAAATTGTATTTAATAATGATTATAAAAGGAATGCTAGCTATACATATATATATATATCAATCAATCTATATATATATATATATATCATCATCATCATCACAACAGTTCGGGTATAGAGAGAGATGGCAGAGTGTGATCGACACAGTTCAGCCAGAAATTGGCGCAACCACAATGGTAAAATCTCCCGCCAAATTCTAATTTTTCAGCTGCTACAACATCTGGAATTGATGTCGTCGTTGTTGTTGTTGTCAAAAAGTTGCTGCTGTTTGTGGTTGTCGTTGCTGCTGCCATTTTGTTTTTGTTGCGATTGTTGCTGTTGTTGCTATTTTTCTGACTAACAGCTCTCGAATTTTGGTCCTCCCCACCAACGACTTTGCAGTTAATATCGTCTTTCATCCATTTTCTTCTCGAAACGCTCTTGTCGTTCGTGCCAATTTTATCTTTCGCGCCAATTTTGTCTTTCCCGCCAATTTTGTTGTTCGCGCCAATTTCAACAACGACGCCATTTTTATTTTTCGTCGGATTCTTCAGCACTGTTGCCCTCTTATTCCCGCCAATGGAAAACATGCTAGACTCAATCTTGTGTATATAGTTGATCCTCGACCCACCTTCATCATCATCATCATTATCATCATCGTCACTGTCATTATTACCATCATTATCAGGAATACCACACCTGTCAAGACCGCCATCAAGATTCAGTGACGTCACATCGGGATCGCGTGACGTCACATCGGCACCACTGGTGGTAGCCTCGGCGACAACGACGACACTAAGAAGGCAGAGTCCACAGGCGAATTCGTGCTTGTGGCCGTCGTCAGACTTCAACAAAAACCGTCGCAGCGTGTCGTCATTGCTGGCAGTTAGCTGTCAGGTAATACAATGTTACACTTTTATAATTATTAACCATCGTCATCATCTTCATCATCATTTTCATCATCATCATCATCACCACCACCATCATCACCATCATCATTGTCATCAACTGCAGCAGAAAAAATAGCAGCAGCAGCAACAGCAGCAGCACCACCTTCATAAATATCTTGGTCTGAAGAGAGGCCAAGAGGTAATCAACCGACTTTCTCAATTCGAATAACTCAGTGCTGTGGACGGCTGGTTGATAGAATGAATGAATGAATGAATGAATGAATTTCATAATCATTATCATAATAATCGTCATCATCGTCATCATCATCATCATCACTAACAACACATTAGAAGTTGAAAATGCAATCTGTTGTAAACTTCGCATATCTTTCTGATTCCTTTATGTTAGAAAAAAAATATCATCATCAGTATACTACTACTACTACTACTTCTACCACTACTACAACTACACTACTACTACTATTACTACTACCACTACTACAATTACTTCTACAACTACTACTAATATTAATAATAACAATCGGAATTACGACCTTCCAAATAATTTTGACCCTTCTGTGACGTCACAAACCCCTGCAACAAGCCCCAGCCCTCGACTTCGCAGACGACATCGAGGGCCTCCCTCAGCATTCTGTCGATGGCCGCCAGACATTTCGACCACTGGTGGGCGTGGTTATCCCAATCCTAAAATATGATTGGTCGGAAGATTTTGAAATGTAATATTTCAGTTAGCCAATCAGAGTAAGGTGAACGGAAATTGAAATCTTTCAGACGAATGAAATAAAATGTTTTTTTAGTCATCCATCTTGCAGAAAAACGAATTGATCAGAGCGATCGATCAATCAATCAATCAATCAATCAATCAATCAATCAAACAAACAATCAGCTAACTTGTCATCAGTAATCTTTCGATCATTATCATTACAACTCGAATATGATTGGCTGTCATCTGACTGTTGTTGTATATGCTTCTATATATGTATATGTGTGTGTGTTTGCAAATATTATTATTAAGTTATTTTTATTATTATTTTATTATTATTATTATTATATACAGTCAAATAATAATGAAAATAATAATAAATAAATTAAAAAATTAAAATAATAAAACGAAAAGACAAAGAGCTAAAATCCAACTGGGGCGATGAGTTCTAAACTCCTGACAGAGGCCGAATCATCGTCAAGGGTTCCCAAGTATGCCCCCAGCCCTGGTCTATTTTTAGATTCTGGAAAGTTCTCCGAGAGGCTATTTTTGGAGCTGTTATCTTGCAATTTGTAGACATCGCTGCTGCTGTTGTTGCTGTTGTACAAATAGTTAAACCCTAAATTATTATTATTATTGTTGTTGTTGTTATTATTATTATCGTTGTTATTGTTGTTGCCGGAATTAGCCGTGTCGGATTTTCCAAACTCTATAAATAAATCATTACTTGATTGGCTGTGGTTGTTAGGATAGTCATTCTTACCACTGGAGCCATCAAGATGGCTAACGAAATCATCAAAATCATCATCATCCTCGCCGCCGTGACGGTGGTTTTGATGATGATGATGGTGATGATGATGATGGCCTTTCACTTTAGAGCCGTCATCACTATCAAGACCGCTTCTGAAATTACCACTACTATTACCGGTGGCTAGAGGGGAAAGAGGCGAGCCATTTTTAGACTGAGGTGTAATTTGGAAATTCCCAAGAGTGGAATAACTTGCTTCCCCAATACAAATTGCACCATTATCATCATCGTCGTCGTCGTCATCTTTGCGGTTATGATGATGATGATGATGAGGATGACTAAAGTGACGATGTTGATGTTGATGATGATGATGATGATCACATATTTCTGTGACATTATTATCACTACTATATTCTACTTTTTCATCATCATCATCATTGCCAATAAAATTGCCACCATTATTATTATTATTATTATTTTCAGTTGAGCTAAATATAGAGCCACTGGGAAATTCCAAATTTCTAAATATATCGTATTTGTCACCACCATTATTACTGTTGTTATTATTATTATTATTAGATGATGATGATGATGATACATGAATCGGTGCTGGTAACGATGCGGAACTAGCAAAGAAAAATTCGCCAAACTCATCATCATCAGCTCCATCATTATTACTAGTACTATTACCAGCAAACCCTATTACGTTATTATAGTTATAATAATTATAATTATTATTATTGTTAGTTGTAGTAGTAGTATTAAATATAGTATTGTTAGTTAAAATAATAGTAGTAGTAGTAGTAGTAGCAGTAGTAGTAGTAGTAGTAGCAGTAGTAGCAATAGTAGTAGTAGTAGTAGTAGTAGTAGTAGTAGTAGTAGTAGTAGTATAAACGAATTTAGTGTTGCTAGCATGGTAACCAACATTATCAGTATTATTATTATTATAATTATTATTATTATTATAATTATAATTATTATTATAATTATTATTATTGAAGCAATCATCACCAATAGCACCTTGCTCGCCAATGACTTCCCTCAACACGGAATACTTATCTAGTGACTGAGACAAAAACGACAAAGACGACGATGATGAAATCATCGGCTGTGATAATGGTATCATTGCTGACGTTAATGATATCATTGGTGAAGATGATGGAGATATCATTGGTGATGTAAATGATATCATTGAAGATGGTAAAGATATTACTGAAGATGTGATTGGTATCACTGAAGATGGTAAAGGTGCCAATGAAGATGTGAATGGTATCATTGAAGATGGTAGAGATATCATTGGTGATGTGAATGGTATCACTGAAGATGGTAAAGATATCTTCGGTGATGATGATGATAGTACTGGCGATGATAATGATACAAACGATAATGAAGGTGGTGATAACGTTGGTGGTGATGATAACGAAAAAGAGTTTTTTGATGATGATGATGATGGTAGTGTTGATAGTGATAATGATGGTGTTGGTAGTGATGCTACAAAATGATAGTTTAGATCGTTTTTAGTGCGATTATCAATATTCTTCCTAGAATGCGGTGAAGATGACGATGAAGATGATGATGAGAGTGACGAGTGAGCCGTTGGGTTTTCCAAGTTTCTAAAAATAAATGGGAAATTCCTGTTGTTGTTATTGTTGTAGATGTTGTTGTTGATGTTGTTGTTGTTGTTATCAATACATGTTGACGCTATATATACTGATGCTTCAGACGATGTGGCTAGTGTTGTTTGGCTGTTGTTGTCACTGTTGTAGTGCTTGAAACCACTGAATTCCTCATCATCTTCATCGTCGACATCTCTGAAAACATTGTTTAAGATGGTGTTGACGTTACGGCTGTGGCTGCTGCTGCTGTTGAAGTTGGAACCGCCGAAATTAGGAATAGGTGCCTGTATGCACTTTCTCAAAACAATGAGCGAGGAATGGTCCATTTTGTTCTAGAACATTGTTGTCAACATTGTTATCAACATTGTTGTCAACATTGTTATCAACATTGTTGTCAACATTGTTATCAACATTGTTATCAACATTGTTGTCAACATTATTATCAACATTGTTGTCACTATTGTTATCAACATTGTTGTCGGTGAACAAAAAAAATGACGTAAACACCATCACCATCACCATCCTCATCCTCATCCTCATCATTTACTTTCTTAATTCGTTCGAATTCTAACCTGAGAGATTGAAACCATGGCCAGCAATAGATAGAGTTCGTGTTTCAGCATTACGGGTCCCCCACCTCCGCTCCCACCACTACTACCCCCCCTACAGCACATATCCCACAGCCGGCCAAGCACTCCCCTCTCCAGCCCAGTCTTTGATAGCAAAAAGTCGTACACCGATTGCGCCACTATGCTCCCGTTTCTAAAGTAATTTTTGTCAGTGAGAAAGGATGGATGAAGTTGATAACTACTTTTAAAATGTGAAAATGCACACAAACATACACACACACACAGACACACACACACGCACACGTATAGGCACAAACCTCGAGAAAGCATTGAACACCATTTTATACTGCCTAGGGACCAAAGAATCAACCACCACCCACGCCGGGAAAACCTCTAAACCATAGATATCGGGTGTGAAATTATTACTATCACCATCACCACCACCACCATCATCGTCATTATCATCATTGGTAATCGTTGAAGGCATATATGGGAGGTGAAACTTAGATCGCGGCGATGATGGCGGTTGTAGTAGTTGCTGTGGCCGCGATGATAGCGACTGAGGCCGTTGTGGTGGTGACGATAATGACTGTGACAATGACGACGACGACGATGATGATGCTGATAACGACAACGATGACGACGATGATGATGTGAGTGAAATTGACTGCTGGAAGAAAGCTTCACATAGTAATGATGATGACGATGATGATGATGGTGGTGGTAATGATGATAATGACGATGATGGTAATGATGATGATGGTGGTGGTGGTAGTGATGATGATGGTTTAGTTTGCATAGCACCTATGAAATCTCCAAAATCATCATCATCATCATCGTTGTTGTTGTTGGTGTTAATGTTGTTGAAGTTGTGTGTGTTAAAAAACTGCTGATTGTTATATTGTTTCGTTGATGAAAAGATTGAGCTATCATTGTTGCTGTTGTTGTTGATGTTGTTGAAACTACTAGCAACATTTCCAACATTTGGTTGCAACTTTTTCTCAACAGAACCAGTGATGCTGGAAGGATCTGCAACAATCGATTTGATAATTTCATCTGCGTTTTTCGTTGTCGTTTTTGAAAATCTTGCTATGTCTTTTAGCTTCTTTTGTTGTTGTTGTTGTTGATGTTGTTGTTGTGAAGATGACATTGAATTACTCTTAAACTGTTGATGAAATTGCTTTTGTTGTTGCTGGGATTGTTGCAGAGGTAATGAATAATAATGCTGTTGGAGTGTTATAAACTGTTGTTGTTGTAATTGTTGTTGTTGATGTAACAGCTGTTGTTGTTGTTGTAATTGTTGTTGTTGGAAAAAGATGTTAGATGGTTGTTTTTGTTGGGGGTTAAAATTTTGGCCCCTTCCAGTCACTAACCCCCCCTGTGCAACGTTGTAGAGTGAAAGTTAAAAAAAAATCTTGAAAATTACTCTAAATCATCTATCATTGCAATTTTCCATCCACATATTATTAATTCAAATGTCAATTACATAACTTCGAAAACAACAACACTAATAAAAATTTTCCCCCAAAAGATCCCAAATAAGTAACCTGTGCAACATATGGTTGCTGAGTTTGTACAACACCCGTAAAACAAGGCTGATTAGGCAAGACCATCCTCACTAAAGTTGGGGCAATCTGTCCAGAATTAGGCACGGTGGGGTATAAAATGGCATTTGTTGGTTGTTGATTTTCATTGATGTTGTTGTTGTTGGCGGTCGAAAACATGTTGTAATTGAATGAAATGGGTAGCTGGGATTTTATTGAGAAGATAAAACAAAGTCAATTTTTTAAAATTTGAATCCAAATGTTACATACTAATGTAAATGTAAAATTTAAATCCAGTGTGTTAGTTAAAGTGTCAGTCAGTTGTGTTATTAGTTTTAATTCAAATCCAACTGATTAAATTAAGTTGTTGAGATATGAAGTAAAAAAAGTTTAACAAACTATCTTCAAGTTGATTTTTACTTTAAATGTTAAATAAATTTATTCTTCTTTTAATTAAATGTATAAATAAAATACTAATTTGATTAATAATTAAATTTAAAGGATGGATTCTTGCTTACTTGTGAGAAGAAAATATTTTTCAAAAATGAAACCTTCCTATTTTAAATTAAAGTATAAAACCACTAACCTAGTGCTTTTCTAACATATGATAGACAGATTTTATATTAAATTAATGATGAACACAAAGTAAATCTATATCGTGTTTATCAAATTATACATCACTAATTTAATCAAGTGTGGGTACAAAACTTACATAACCTAATTAGTAATTAGTGTGGGCATATAATTGTATTTTATAGTATGATGTGGCATGTATAAAAATAAATAAATTATTTATATATTGTATTTATATAAAAAATATGCTCTTAAAATTATAAAATAATGGAAGATAGATAAAAAAATGAATCGATTAAAGATAGTTTTTAAATTTTTTTAAGAACTTTGTGCGTCAAAACAACCCAAACTAGGAGACATTTAATGTTTAAAGTTACAAGATCGAGTCTAGATAGATGTTGCTATAACAAGTGATCTTGTGATTTATGGAAAGAAAGCTTATGCTGTCCAAATATTTTCTCATATAATTAGAATTTTCTGCTTATAAAATCGTAAGCCAAAATGAAACGTGAAGAATCTACTATGTATTTTTTAGTTATACACTGCTAGGTTTTTTTATTTTACTTATTTTAACATTTGATTGACATATTAACTCAAACTGTCTACATCTATGCCTATATTGATATTCAGAGGTTAGTCAAAGGGAGGATAGGCTTTCGGGCTGATAATTCCTCCACAATAAAAATTTGTGTTAAGGTTAAAGTGTTAAAGTTAAATTTGACAAAACATTTAACTAATTTTAATGAATTTTGGTTTAAAATTGTTAGAGCCAGTAAAAATCGCAATGTTTTCCAAATTTGAATGAAAAAACAAGTTCGAATATGTTGTTCATGAAAAAAAGTGAATTGAACTTTCTGAAAAGTTCTAGCCGCCCCCACTAACCTTAACCCTATACTGCCTACATTTTTCTTTCTCGTGCCTTACCCTTTCTGGACATTGGCGACCATCGACCTCATTACGTTCATACAATAACACTTTAAAAAAAACGCGCCCCAGGTTCAAAATTTCAAATGTACGACGTCATCATTTGTTTTGATTGTTAGCATTACATTCAATTTTTAAAAATGAATCTCCAGTCGTATCTTCACATCGTAAACCTTACTGGAAGCAAGGGAAACGTTGGTGTCAAATAAACTAAAGATAGAATACAGTGAGACAGTCGCTTTCGGAAAAAGTTCAGGTGTAGTTACTTTATTATTGTACAGTACATAATGGTTGCACTAGTAATTTTACTTGACTTAATGGTTGGATGTTTGGTTGGTCGGTATATTGTTGGTTGCTTCTTTGACTGTTGGTTAATTTTGGTTGTTTGGTTTGTTCGGTTGGTTGGTTGGTTGGTTGGTAGATTGATTATAATAAAAGAAGAATTTGCAGTTTCAAATATTTTTCAAATAAAAATAAAATAACATAACATTGCAAATAATTTTATTTCTCTACAAGTAAAAGCATCAAATTTATTTTTTATATTTAAGATATGTTCGTTTAAAGAGGTTTTTCACAAAAATTTAAAAAAGTTTTGAATTATTATAAATAAACATAATTTTTCTATAAATTCATTTTTCTATAATATCATCTAAAATAAATAAAAGTCAACAAAAAACAGTTTGTTTCAAATTGGCTCCGAATTCAAGCCAATAGATTTAATTATTTCTCACATCATTCATGCTATTGGGTCAACCTGAGAAATAAATAAAGGAAAAATAATTAATTGATCAATTAATTAACTAACAATTAAATTTGTTTTTTCTCTCTCTCTCTTTATAATATAATATAATAACAATAATTAAAATTAATATGATAAACTAACGCATCGAGGCTGGTTGGGACAAGGGGCCCTTACGCATACAATGTCGTTCACTTGGCAAACTTTTTTAGGGGGGCAAATCACCCTCTGATAAATTATGTATGTGACTATGTATATATATATATGATATATGATATATATATATATATATATATATATGATATAATGTTATATATACCTCGCATTTATCGATACAGTCACAAGTTTGGCAGCCATTTTGATTTGTGACATAGCCACTTAGGCATGGCTTACATTTTAAACTCGGACACAATGCTGGGTCGTCCAAGCCTGTTTGTATAAAAAAAAATCATTATCTAAATGTTTCGCGATTTTAGGAAATTCGGGTGCAAATTCGCCCTTTCAGCCCACAACCCCCTCCTTGTTAGGCTAGTGGGGAATGTTAATGGATTTTCATATTTAAGTATAACAACATTAACAACGCTAACAACAACAACATTAATAATAATAACAACAACAATAATAATAATAACAATGGACTAACTGTCTCTGCATTTACAAATCTCGCAACCGTTGGGGCCGATCTCGAATCCAGTTGGGCAGTACATCGCACATATGACGTTTGTGGAACAATCTAATAATAAATAATAATAATAATAATAATAAATGATAATAATAAATAATAATAATAAATAATAATAATAATGATGATGGTGGTGAAGATGAGGAAAATGATGATTGTCATCGTCTAGAACATAAGCAACCAACCGGGAACGCACCTCCTTGTTCCGTCAACTTCTTTACACATCTCGGAGTCTTTGCAAGCAACTCCCTAACAATAATAATAAATATAATAATAAATAATAATAATAATAATATTCTTACATTGCAGTCCTTCCTACATTCACATATCTCACAACCATCAGCTCCAAGTTTGAATCCAAACGGACAGAGCATTTTGCACATGGCGCCCGAGCAATTCTCTAATAATAACAATAATAATAACAATTATTATTATTGTTGTTGTTAATTATATTGTTATATTGTTTTTATAATTATATAATAATAATTAATTAATTAATTACCACAACAAACTAACTTTGGGCTGGAATGCATTGGGCTGTATTATTAATCACTTGACAGATTCGTCCAGGAATACAATCAATGAGCTATAATATTTGTATTTATCTTTTCAAACACTAAATTCATTAATGCTAACAATTCGGTAGAATTCATACAATTCTGTATAAATTATGATGATCGCCTGGAACGTATATACACTGATCAACTATTTTCACATACGCTTATACACATACATACATATATGTTGATAGTTTAATACCCAAAGCAATTTATAGGTTTATCAAATCTTTTTTCTAAACCGTGCTATTGAAAAAACATTAAGAGAAATAAAAAGAAGAATTTAGAAGGAATTATTATTATTATTATTATTATTAATGAGAAGACGAATAATAGTAATAATAATCATAACAATAATATAACATTAGTCATAATAATAATAATAATAACAAAAGAAAATACAAATAGAATTTTAAAAAAGTTACGAACCGCGCATGGGTTTTCCTCTCTGCATTTACAAATTGGGCAGCCGTCTGGACCCAATTCGAATCCAAACTCACAGAACATGTCACAGATGGCGTTTTTGGAACAATCTAATAACAAGAACAACAACAACAATAATAATGATAATAATGGAGGAGAAGATGGTGATAGTGATGATAAGGATGACGGGGATGAAGAAGAAGATACTGCTGTTGTTGGTGACGATGATTATCATTATTATTATTATCATTATGCACAACCGAAGCTAGTACATTAGTATTATTACTATTATTATTATTAATATTATTACTGACGTCATTACTACAACTAACCGACGACGCATTTGGCCACATCATAGCAAGGAGCGGCGATGCAAAAGACCTGCTCAGGCTTGCAAACTTGTCCGGATGGACACGGATTTCTATCCTACGTGGTTTATGATTTGCGTTTTTATCCCAAAAATTGTCAAAATAATCGAAAGCTGTTTACGTGCCGATATGAAATTTAGGATGAAGTAAGATACTACCTCACACGGATCAATGCAAGAACATGTTTGGCAGCCATTGATGTCTTTCCTGTATCCACTTGTACAAAGCCTCGGGCAAAAAACTGGTTGGCAAACTTCGAAAAGAAGAAATTTAGTAAGAGTGTTTAGAATTTAGTATTACCTAGATCGTATTTTAGTATTTGGTGTTTCAGTGAAAAGTTTGAAAACAATTTTTTTTAAACCACGCCACTGAATGTAAAATTGTCATTCTTTAGTGTGTTAATTGCGTCATGGTTTGTCACCGGTAATGAGTAATTAAAATTGCAGAGTTATCGAAAAACAATACGGGATCTGAACTATAGAAACATAAAATCAACCAAACAAACAGATGAACAAACAACAAATAACATCGCCAGCAACATTTTACCTTTTTTAACACATCTAGCAACTGCATAGCATGGCTCCTTCTTACATATAACCTTTTCACTCTTGCATACTAGACCGGCTCTGCAGACTTTATTCTACAAGAATAATTAAAAAATTATAATAAATAAACTAATAAATTAATTAAATAGTTAGTTAATTAATTAATACAGACAGGCAGACAGACAAACAGGCAGACAGACTGACAAAATAAAATTTTCCAAAATAAACATTTGAAAACCTCGCACGGATCGACACATTTACAGGTTTGGCAACCTCTGGAGTCCTTCCTAAAGCCACTATTGCAATGATTGGAACATTTGGGTAGTGGACATTCTTTAAAATTTTGATTTTACGTGTTAGGATTTTAAATTAGAATTTTTATTTAGAACATTTTTTCTGAACTACTTAAAAATTTTCATTGGTTCTAAGTATGTATTTTTTCTTACCAGCTATTACTATTACATATTTATAAAACTGATCAGCCAACCAATCAATCAACTGGTCGACCAACCAACCAACCCACCAACCAATACATTTGGCCACAGGATAGCATGGAGCCTTAACACACGTCACATTCTTAGGAATACATATTTGATTGCTGGCACAAGGAGAAATGATTTCCTGTAGTGATTCGTTCATTCATTCATTCATTCATTTATTCATTCATTCGTTTATTCACTCACCTCGCAAGGATTAACACATCTGCAAGTTCTGCACCCATCTGCTCCAACTCTGTATTCACTGCAGCGGTTAACAATGCATGCTATCTCTGGACATGGTTTCCCGGTTGCTGGGTTGGTTGGTTGGAGTTAGTTGACTGATTAATTGGTTAACTAGTTGATTGGTTGACTCATTAACAAAATGAATAATAATAATAATAATGTTAATAATAAAAATAATTGTCAAAAATATGGTCGGTGAATTAGTAGAAGTAGGCAGAAGTGCCATATCTCGCATTGTTATTGCTCGGTCACCTGGTTCGAATACTGAAAGACTACCGTACGCCATACAAAGTGTGGTGTGGTGTGGTGTCGGGTCGTGTGGTGTCGTGTCGTGTGGTGTCGTGTCGTGTGTTACACAAAGAACACGTAAGCAGCTCTAGGCATAATAAAGAACAAAAAATGTTTACCTGCAAAGCTGTCTGCAACCATCATCGCCGTCACTACAAACAAGAGCGCAAGCAACTTCATTTTTGGTTATCGTTTCGATACTGTCTCGTTTCTTTCCGATACTGTCTCGTTTCTTTCCGATACTGTCTCGTTTCCTTTCGATACTGCCTCGTTTCTACATTATAATAGATAATAATTTTTTCATAAAATATTTTTACAAAGTTATGAAACTTGAAAATACACTTTTTAACAAAATAACTTAGTATTATAATAAAAAAAAAAAATAAAAATAAACTTCAAGCTTACTAAGAATTTAATGATGTAATGAATATCCGCTAACACTATCCGCTTATATAACTTTCAGCTATTACGACAAAAACAATAATAATAATAATAATAAATATAATAAAAAATTTTATCAAGAAAACCGTAGTCAGGTATTACATTCAATCAAGCCGAGCCTCTACTCATTGCTTGTTATTATTCTTATTACATATTGGGGCTGTTATTGTTATTATTATTATTGTTGTTGTTGCTATTGGTATTATTATTGACGTCACAGAAGATTATTGTTATTGTTGTTGTTGTTGTTGCTATTGTTTTTATTATTACTATTGGCGTCATAGAGTTTTATTATTATTGTTGTTATTATCACGACACGTTCGCAAGCAAAGGCAAGCCTCCTAGTAAATATTTTTTATTATATTATTAAAAATAATTATAATTATTTATGATCGTTAATAATTATTATTATTATTTATTATTATTATTTTTGTTGTTCTCATTAGGAGATTGTTTAAGACATGAAAAACTGCCAATTTAAATTCGTTTATTTTCGTCAAATTAAATCAAATCAAATAGTTGTTTGAAGCAACGAAGTGACTTATAAACCAAAAAGTAGACTCGTGGGAGGCTAATATACAAATTTTAAATAAATAAATAATTTTAAATAATTTAAAACTTTTTAATTAACTAAAATCTAAACTAAAATGTTAACCAAAATCAAAGTTTATTTAAACGAAGTAGTAAAAAGTATAAATATTGAATAAAAGTATTGAAGAAGAGATTAAACTTTATCGCGGTCTAGTTTATAAAATTTTTAAAGTTCATCTGTGTCTAAACGTGTTGAATTTGAACATGTTATCGTCAGATCCCTTCGAACGAGACGGCCTTGTTGGATGTTTGTTCTAATTTGTATTCTTCCTCAGATGCTCAGAATGTGTCGCTGCTTGCTCCTTTAGATACGATCTCTGCCTTTGTTTGTCTCCAATATTCAGTTGGAGTATCGGGTGTTCTGCTTCAATGGATTGAGTCATACCTTTCTGGTTGTTCACCGGAGATTCTGATCAGATCTAACTTGACAAAAGTGCTACACAATGTACTGCAATAATCGTTCGCGCCTCTGAGATCTTTTTAAAGAGCGCTTACAAACATACCAATAATAATAATAATTTCTTGGTGTTAGTAAAAGCTCTTTCCAACAAAAAATTTCAGAAGTTAAAGAAAAATCGATTCTTAGTTGCAGAAAACCTAATTCATTATGACATTGACAGTCTCTTTTGCAGAGAGTTTACTGAAAAGTGGCTGAAGAAATCTGCTTTTTTTCTGCGAACCATTAACGATTTCATTGTTCATAGGCGAATTTTGTATTTCTTTTCTTTTATAAAAAATTCTTTTTATTAGTTAAACTATAATAAAATACTACTCCTGCTACTACTACTGCAACTACAGCTGCTAATACTACTACTGCTACTGCTACAACTATTGCTGCTACAACTACTGCTACTACAAAAAATATTTTTTGAATAAAACGGTTTTTTTTGCGTTCAAAATTTTATTCGTCATAATCTGAAACATTTTATCAATAAAAATGTTCAATAATAATAATAATAATAAAAGTTATAATAATAATAATAATAAATTAAGTACAATTTATAAGTTTTTAAAAAGTGGCTTCAAGTCAATGACTCCTTTATCCAAGTTAAGCTATTTGGTCAAGGTGAGGAGGATGATTAATAATTTCTAATGTTACCCCAATTATAAAAAATACCGTGATAGATAATAATAATAATAATTACAAAAACAACAATAATAATAATAAATAATAATAATAAAACAATAATATCAATAATAATAATAATAGCTGTCAACAACACGCGTCTGCATTTGCACATTGGGCATCCGTTGGCGTCGGTTAGGAATCCAAACTTACAGTACAAAGCGCAGATGAACCTTGGAGAAACTAATAATGATAATAATTAGAATTAATGTTAATAATAAATAATTATAATTATTATAATAATTATAAAAAATACTTACTACCAAATAATATTTGGTAGTTAGTATTTTGTATTTAAGTAAAAAGTTTAAAAAAGTCTTTTTAAAAACATGCCGGTATCATTATTATTATTATTATTAATTTTATTACTGTTAACAACAAAACAACAACTATAACAACAACAAAGACAACCTCCAACTAACTTTTAACAAATGGAACGCATTTGGCAGCATTGTTAGCTACCCGACAGACACGTCTCATTCCACACTTAACGGTCTACAACAACAAGAATCTGTAGACCAATTAACCTTTTAAGCATCGTATGCAAGGTACTAGAAAGAATAATTGAGAAGATAATTGTAAAACCACTCGGCAAAAAACAATATCATATACAAGAGCCAACACGGATTTATGGATGAGCGTTCGTGCCTAACAAACTTGCTTGACTTTTTTGAAGAGGTTTATGAAAATTTGGACAAAAAGAAATCAGTGGACATTGTGTATTTAAATTTTGCTAAGGCTTTCGATAAAGTACCGCATAAACGTTTGGCCTGATAATTAGAGGCAAGTGGAATCACAGGAAACACATCCAAGTGGATTTATAACTAGTTACAAGATAGACAACATTAGAAAAAAGAATAAGAGGAGATTTGATTCAGGCATACAAGGTCATCACTATGAAGGAGAATTTGGAAATCAGCGAATCAGCGAAATTTGTTGAGAGTAAGATGAACATAAAACAAGGGGGCATAAACGTATGATCTTTAAAAAAAGCTCGCGATCGATAAAGCAAAAATTTTTCAACTGCAGAGTTGTCAACGAGTGCAACAAACTGGGAGATGAAATAATATGCGCAGGAACAACTATTAACTTCAAAGCAAACTTGGCAAAAATAGGATATTAAAAAAGTCTCAGAGTGGTCCCGTCACAGAGTCAGTCTTTTTGGATCACTAAAAAATCTTTGTTATATTATGTAATGCTATGATCCAAAGTAGCAAAAAATTCTGACGCTATGAAGGTCCTTTATTGTCAAATTACTTATATTTGAACGATTCTAGGTCGAAAACCCCTTTCATTACCAAATAATACATTTTCATGTTCAGTAGATTGATTTATTGAGTACTTATTATATGAACCTGGTAACAGACCAGCCAGCTTAATTCAACATGCAAGAGCCGCATTCCAAGAAATCGAACTATAGCACATAATGAATGAAAGGGTTTTTATGCTCTTACTATTTTATTCGTCATAATCTGAAAAATTTTATTAATAATAATAAAGATGATAATAATTGTTATATTGATAACAGCAACAATAATAATAATAAATTAAATATAGTTTGAAAGTTTCAAAAATTGTCTTCGTATTCAAGTCATTCACTCAAATTCTTCATCCGATTCGCCCTACTGGGGCAACCTGGAAAGCAAATAAACGGAAAAAAATTTAATTAATTGACCAATTAATTAATTAACTCATTATCAGCTTTCTCTCTCTCTCTCTCTCTCTCTCTCTCTCTCTCTCTCTCTCTCTCTCTCTGTCTCTCTTTCTATCTATCTATTTCTCACTCTTCACATACTAATTTTATTATTAGCACCATAATCAATCAATCAATCAATCAATCAATCAATCAATCAATCAATCAATCAATTAGTTTATTGCTATTTCTGCAATGTTCAACAGCGCTCCTCAATGAATTTTGAAAACAGATGGGTCTTGAGATCCGCTCTGAACTTCGCAAGTGATGGAGAAGTAGTCAGAGAAGTAAGTAGAGAGGACCAGAAAAAGCAAAAGCAGATTTGGCTAAAGAGTGTTTAACACGAGTTAAGAAAAAGCGAGAAGAAGAAGATCGTAAACCGGGGCGTTTAGGTTCAATTAATATATCTGATAAATACTTAGGAAATAATTTAGATTGAGACTTAAACATGAACGTGCAAATTTTAAACATTATTCTATATTTTATAGGTAGCCAGTGCAAGAGAACAAGATATGGAGATATATGAGAAAAGAAAGGGGCACGAGCAACTAGACGAGCAGCAGATTAAAAGCTTTACTTAAATGATAGAGTATAGAGTCAGGAAGACCATAGTAAAGCGAGTTACAATAACCAATCCTAGATAAGACTAACGAAGTAACAAGGAGAAGAGTAGGATCATCAAGAAAAGATACTGCTGAAATGATGTTTGAAATATTAATTTTTACATTAATACCAAAAAAAGATAACACCTCAATAACTGCAACAACAGCAACAATAAAAACAACAACAACAATAAGAAGAAGAACAACAACAATCAACCAACCCGAGATTGCATTTGCATATCGGGCATCCGTCTGATCCGGTTTGAAATCCATACTCACAATACAACATACACATGATATCAGAACATTCTATTAATAATAATAACAATAATAATTATTATTATTACATTATTATTATTATGACAATAATATTTAGTAATTAATAATAAAAGCCATCAACTAACTTTTAACGCATTGGGCCGAATTATTAACTACCTCACACACGTGGCCCGCTCTGCACTTTACGACCTATAATATATATATATATATATATATATATATATATATATATATGTATATATATTTATATATATAATTATTTATATATATACGTTATATCAGTATTAGTGTGTGTGTGTGTGTGTGTGTGTTGTTTGTTGCGTGTCGACACCTCTAAAAGATATTAAGAGAGAATTATCATTATTGAAAAAGTAATTATAATAATAATGAAGATAATAATAATGACGATAATGATGATGATGATGATGATAATAATAATAATGATAATAATAATAATATTAATAATAAAGATAGAACTAACAGCGCACGGATCCATCTTACATTTACAAATGTCACAACCATCTGGCCCAACTACGAATCCAAACTCGCAATACATTCTACACATGGCGTTATTGGAGCAATTTGCTGCTAATACTGATGATGATGATTTGGTGATTGTGGTGATGATGATAATTATGATGATGTGGGGATGATGATGTGGGGATGATGATGTGAAGATGATGATGATGATGATGATTTGGTGATGATGATGATGGTGATAATGGAGATAATGATATCATCAATGTTGATGCTGTTGTTAATTATGTTTATTTTTCATCGTCTTCATCTTGTCATTATTATTATTATTATTATTATTATTATTATTATTATTATTAGCATCATCACTATAACCAACTAGGGAAGCATTCAGGAACGTCATAGCAGGGAGCGGCAAAGCACTGGACCTTCTTTGGCATGCAGATCTGTCCGGATGGACACGGATTGTTATCCTGGGTGGTTCATTATTTCCGTTTTTATCCCAGAAATTATCAAAAGATTCGAAGCTGTCTAGGTATCAAGCTACAATCTCAGTTAAAAGTTCGTGCCAGATAGGCTGTTACATGCTAGAAAGACGACGTACTTACATTTGTATGTAGTATCATTCACACCACACCACACATTCATACACAATTCACGGCCTATGATAGTATCTATTTTATCTAAGATTCGGAGGCTGCACGCACGGCCTATGATACACAGTATCTATTTTATCTAACGCATTCAACGCTAAGCAAGGTACTTCTACATAAAGATAAGATGATAACAAGGTTGCTACGTCTTTGTTTTGGATTGGCGAATAGGTTTTCAATATAGAAAAGTATCAGTTAAATGGTTTAATGTATCAATAGAATGAGATTTGGGATATGGATAGAGGAAATGGTTCACCTCGCACGGATCCACACAGGAGCAGGTTTGACAGCCAAAAAAGTCTTTCCTGTATCCGCTTTTGCAAAATCTCGAGCACTTAATTTGTGGGCAATCTTTGGGAATAATAATTATAATTATAATTATTACAACAAAACAACAATAATAACAACAGCTAAGGAAATAATACCATGGTTGATTTGCCATTACCAGTTTCAACAACCACATCCCCATCATCATCGTCATCATCATCCTCTCCATCACCATCATCATCGTTATCTTCATCATCGTCATAATCCCCATCGTCATTAACCTTTTTTAACACATGTAGCCAGATCATAGCAGGGCTCTTTCTTGCAAATAACATTTTTTCTTTTGCAGACCAGACCAGCTCTGCATACTTTATCCTACCGGATTATTTGTACAGAGAGATATAAATATTGAATTCTTTAAGTTGGGGGTTTCAATTAATTTATTTCTTATTTGTCTTTGTTCTCTTTTATTTTGCAGGGCTCGCGTTCGAACGCGGTCATAACGCAAGACAACCCTAAAATCTAGCACTCCTACCGTCTGAGCTAACACGTCTTGCAAAGTCTTTGGGTAAGATCCTACGCAACAAATAATAATTTTTCGTGGCAAAATGAGAAGGACGAGGATTTTAAAAACTTAATAAACACGCGAACGAATAATCCAAAATCGATAGATAAATGAATGAATGGATGGATGAATGAATGAATGAATGAATGAATGAATGAATGAATGAATGAATGAATGAATGAATGAATGAACGAATTGATTAGTGAATGAATAAATGAATGAATGAATAAAAGTAACAGGAAAAAAACAATCAATCAATCAGACAAACAAACAAGCAAGCAAGCAAACAAACAAACAAGCAAACAAACAAACAAACAAACAAACAAACAAACAATCAGACATAATAATTATTTGAAAACCTCGCACGGGTCGACACATTTACACGTCTGACAACCCTTAGAATCCTGTCTAAAACCACTCCGGCACGGTTTGGCACATTTGAGTTGAGGGCAATCTTCAAAATTTCAATTTCATGGGTTTAAAAAAAATTCAAGTTTTGAGTATGTTGTGGTGTGGTGTGGCGTGGTGTAGCGTGGTTCTAGGCATAATGATGAACAAGAAGATGTTAACCTGCGTAGCTACCAGCAACCATCATCGCCGTCACCACAGACAAGAAGACAAACAACTTCATTTTTAGTTATCGTTTCGATACCGTCTCGTTTCGCTTGCCTGTTGTCTCGTTTCTTTTCGATATTGTCTCGTTTCTTTGCGATACTGTCTCGTTTCTGTAGCCTACAACATTATAAATGTTAATTTTACATGTAATAACATATTGAAATATGATAACATGCGTTAAAAATATTAACTTAATAATAAAACAATTATAATAATACAATAATAATTATAATATAATTATTATATAATAATATAATAATAATATAATAATATATATATTATTATATAATATATTATATAATAATATAATTATAATATAATTATTATTAACAGCAACAATAATAATAATAACACTAACCAAAGTCTACTAAGAATTTAACGCTGTTGTATTGAAATTTTGCTAACATTTCACCGGCTTATATAGCTTTCAACGCTGTTACGAAAGTAATAATAATAATTATTATTATAAACGCTTATTATTAATATTATTGTTTATTATTATTATTATACTATAATGCTACTCAGCTGCTCACAAATGATTAACATCTATTGTTATAATAGCGGTACGGTGTGTCAAGCGGAAATAACAACAATAAATAACAACAACAACAATAAATAATAACAATAATAAATATATTTGTAATTATTATTATTATTATAATATCCTTTATTATTATTTTTAATAAGTTAAAACAGTAATTATAGGTACTAATAATCGTTGAAACATAGTATGAATGAAACATTTCACGTAATTCGCACGCTCCTGTTACATTACTTTATAGCACTTTAATGTCATTTTGACAACAATAATAGCAACAATAACATAATAATAATAATAATAATAATAATAATAACGATGATAATAATAACAATAATAATAAAAATTAATAACGTTATTATTAAATCGTCATCAGGTACATTCAGCCTAGTCGGGCCTCTCTCTCTCTCTCTCTCTCTCTCTCTCTCTCTCTCTCTCTCTCTCTCTCACACAGACAATCACCCTTTGTTTATTTTACCTCTTCTTTTTCTTCTTTTTCTTCTTCTTCTTTTTCTTCTTCTTTTTCTTATTATTATTATTGACGTCACAAAATTTTATTAATATTATTGTTATTATTATTATCACGATTGGTTTCCAATTAACAGCACGTTTCAACAGCGGGCCTCCTAGTAAATAATTTTTTATTATACTAATAATAAAAGTAAATTATAATAATTTTTTTATTTATGATTATTATTGCTATAATTTATTATTATTATTATTGTTGTTGTTGTTGTTCTTACTATGCTCAAGACATAAAACTGCTATTATTTCTGCTAAAAGTCATAATCATTCGTAATAAATAATTTCTTTTGTTAGCTAATTAAATACTACTACTATTCGTGCTACTACTATTACTACTACTACTACTACGGCTGCTGCTACTACTACTACTACGACTGTGGCTGCTAGTATAGGTACTGCTTCATTTTCTTTCTCGCACCTTATCCTTTCAGGACATTGTCGACCATCGACCTCCACAAACCCGATCTTTAAAACCTTGTAAGAATTGAAACGTGGTGATATTCAACAAGTGACCCTAGGATCTCACAAATGTTGTTCGTTGTTGACCGCGATCTCCTTTCCCTGCAATCTTTCCAGTAGTTGTAAGATTTTCCATTCTTTTATTCCGCATGATGTGATCAAAAAACTTTAACTGCCCCCGTCGGATTATCTGTAGAAAGTTCCTCTTTTCATAACCGGACTGTTTTAATACATCCTCATTCGAAGTATGAGAGGTTCAACTAATTTTCATAATTCTTCTCAAAAACCACATCACGGCAGCGTTAATTCTTTTCTCTATTTCTTTAGAAATTGTCCGGGACTCAGAGCCGTAAGTTAGCACAGGAAAAATGCAACACTCTAATAGTTTTCATTTTGTCGATATTCTGATTTTACTGTTGGTGAGGATGTTTTTCATTTTAGAATATGAATCTTTCGCCATAGCTATCCCCTTTTGATATCATCATCACATTTACAACCTGAGGTAACCAGACTTCCGAGATATTTGATCTTCATTCAAAAGTATACCCACTCCTTCTTTGTGCGAATCACCTGCAGAGTAGATAAATTTGCCTTCTTCAAAGATAATGACATTTGATTTTTTCTACCGAGTCTTGCTCAAACCTAGAACGCTGCTTCTACTGCCACTAATACTACTATTACCACTGTCACTACTACTACTACAGCTTCTTCTACTGCTACTACTACTGCTGCTACTACTACGACTACTACTATTACACGTTTATTTGAATAAAATGCTTCTTATGTTTTTAATATATTTTTATTCGTCATAATTTGAAAAGATTGTACTAGCAACGTCTTTGTCTATAAACTCCGAATAGCAAATGTTAAAAAACGATAATAATTAAGTATACTTATAATTACAATTATAAATAATAATCAATAATAATAGCAATCATTATAATACTTTAATTATAGTCCGTCCACATTCTTATCGGTATCATCAGCAAACCATCTAACCTGTAGAAAAAAAACAGGAAAAATAATTATAACAATAATAATTATAGCAGTAATAATAATAAATTAATCATAATTAAAATATAATTATTTCTTACGCATTTGGGGTAAACCTCTGGACACGGGGCCTTTCTGCAATAAGTTATCTGGGGTATGCAAGAAGAATCGGGTGGGCATTGGTACCCCTAAAAATTAAAATTTAATCATGATAAAAACCATCTAGCCAGGACCATTGCGCTTGGGACTTTGTCCTCCCATGAATACGTGAAATACGTAATGATACGTAGTGATTCGGAAAAGATATTTTGATACATGAAATAATATGGATGAATATAAGACTATACAATAACAATAAAACACGCTACAAAACGATTCCAAGCATAGTGCCATGGAGAAACGATACACTAAACAATAGAGCGCGATATAACGCAGCAATATTAAAGGCAATACGATAAGTGCATCATTCAAAACCGAAACAACACAATACCGGAACGACACGACAGAATAACGAAACGACACGACAAAATACCGAAACGAAACGACGAAATACCGAAAGGGTACAACAAAATACCGAAACGACACAACAGAATACCGAAACGACACGACAAAATACCGAAACGGTACGACAAAATACCGATACGGTACGACGATAAACCTCGCACTGATCCCTCACGCATTCGCAAGTTCTGCACCCATCTTCATCATAGAGGTACCCATTACGGCATGGTCTGCAGGTCTTCTTTGGGCATTCTATGTATATATAAAAACAATAATAAAATTATTATTATTTTGTCATTATTATTCATGTTGTTGTTGTTGTTGTTGTTGTTGTTGTTGTTGTTGTTGTTGTTGTTCATCATTGATACCTGCGTATGCTATTGCCAGCAACACAGACACGAGAATTAGCAATCTCATTGTTGAAGACATTTCGGCTCTTAGTCTGAAAATTATGAAAAAATTTACCAAAATAAAATTAGTTTAATGATAGTTTTAGAAAAATATAGATCTGGAACTGTGATAAAAGTAGTTGAGTTTCTTATTCTCGGTGTTGTTGTTTGTTGCTGTGGTTGTTTGTTTGTTGTTGTTGTGGTTGTTTGTTGAGGTAGTTTGTTGATATTGTTGTTGATCGTTGTTGACGCTGTTGGTTGTTTGTTGATGTTTGTTTTGGTTTTTGTTTGTTGTTGTTGTTGTGGTTGTTTGTTGATGTTGTGGTAGCTTATTGTGGTTGTTTGTTGTTGTAGTTGTCTGTTGTTGTTGTCTGTTGTTGTTGTTGACGTTACTGTTGTTTGTTAATGTTGTTGTTTGTTGATGTTGTTGTTGTTGTTTGTGGATAACTTACTCTCTATAAATGCCTTCTGTTCTAACAATAATAACCGGCAAATCAAATTCTTATATACCTTACACAGTAACAACAACAACAACAGCAACAACAACAACAAATCAAATTCTTATATACCTTACACAGTAACAACAACAACAACAGCAACAACAACAACAAAAACAATAATAATAACTTATGTAAATTACATTTCAATTAGCTTTTCAAATGTATTTCATTCCCGTTACGTTATTATTATTTTTGTTGTTAAGATTGTAATAATAATTATTATTTATATTATTATTATTATTTATATTATTAATAATTATATTATTATTATTGTTGTGCTATTATTATTATTATTATTATTATTATTATTATTATTATTATTATTAATGAAAATGTTTTTCTAGAGTATTTTGAAGGTTTTCAACTTTTAAGGGCCTCATATCTTAAGAATGAATAAGTGCATGAATGAATGAATGAATGAATACATGGATGAATGAATGAATAAATGAATTATGAATGAATGAATAATGAATGAATGATGAATGGTCAGACAGATGGATGAATGAAGAAACGATTGACCAAACGAACGAACGAATGATTGATTGAACGACTAAGTGAATGAGGAAGGAATGAAAGAATGAATGAATGAATAACAGAATTAAATAACCAAAAAACACTTAAGAGAGAGAAGAGAGAGAGAGGAGTTTTGCTTCAGATTGAGTTGGATTCAAATCCCTCTAATCATGGCCACATTCTTCATACATACTTGGGTAAAAATTTCATAATTTCATTTTTATGTTAAATTAATGTAAACTCATCACGAATTAGTATGTGCGTGTGTGTGTGTGTGTGTGTGCGTGTGTGTGTGTGTGTGTGTGTGTGTGTGTGTGTGTGTGTGTGTGTGTGTGTAGAGTTTAAAATCTATGAGCTTCGACAAAAATTTTGATTGATTTATTTCTATTTATAATTATTCAGATTTTTAAAATATTTTGACGAAAATATTTGAGATCACATGAAACTTCAAGAAGGTATTTTTTGTATGTGTGTACATGTGTGTGTGTGTGAGTGTGTATAAGTGTGTTGTAAGTGTATATATGTGTGTGTGAGTTGCTTCAATTTACATTGCTGTTACAACAGAAGAGAGAAAGATTTAAACATTGTAATACAGGTCTACACATAACTTAATATATCATCTTTTTAATTTGACATTTAATAAAATAAAATAATACTTTTATCGACATGTAATTATTTTACCGTAATTTTTGGAAATAAATTCATAATTTTTTAAAGAATAGTTATCAATTTAGGAACACAGGAACTAAAAAGGAGGAAAAATGGAAATGAAAAAGTGGCTCACTATCGCTGTCACCATGGTTTTGATGGCGAGCACCTATGCTGGTTATTATTGACTATCCCTTCTATCAATCACTTCTATGTCACACTTAACTAGCAAATAACTAAGTAAATTATTAATTAGTTAATTAAATAATTAAGTTAAGTAATTATCATTAATTAGTCGGATATTCGATCAGTTATGTGATTATTCAACCGAGAAACTGATCGTTCAACTGACCAATAGACAAATTGACCGGTAGATCAACTAACCAATCAGCCAACCAATCAATCAACCAACCAATCAATCAACCAACCAACCAACCAATCCAGCTGTCCCCAGACCAAGGATGTGTCCCATGATTGCTTGCGACCCCAAAAAGTGCACCAGCGGTTTCAGAGTGAACGCCTATGGCTGCGAAACTTGCACATGTGTCGACCCTTGTGAAGTGAGAAAATTAATTTTTTTTTCTTAAATTTTTCCTACTACCTCTACAACTGCTACTAACTCTTTTTCCACTCTTACTACTACTACTACTACTACTACTACTACTACTACTACTACTACTACTACTACTACTACAACTACTACCACCACTACTACAACAACTACTACTACTATATATTTTGTTAATTTATTTTAAAATAATTAATTAGAAATACGTATGTCCTAAAGACCATCAGTGTGTAAGTGAAGAAGAAGCCATATGTTTGGAACCCCGCTGCTATGCGAAACCTCGTTGTGTCTCATGTTGGTTTGCTCTTTTGATCAATCAATCAATCAATCAATCAATCAATCAATCAATCAATCAATCAATCAATCAATCAATCAATCAATCAATCAATCAATCAATCAATCAATCAATCAATCTATCAATCAATCAATCAATCAATTAATCAAACAATCAATCAGCTAGTAAATCCTTTGAATTTAGTAAAAGCCATTATCATATTAATCTACCATTGAATTTTACTGTAAGAATTGAACTATAGTACACAGAGGTAATGTTGATATATGCAAGCTCTTTTCGTTGTTATATGTTCACACACAACCAATATATATCTGCATTGAAACGTTTCCTTACTACCATTACCACTACTACTACTACTACTACTACTACTACTACTACTACTACTACTACTATTACTACTACTTTCGTTGTTATATGTTCACACACAACCAATATATATCTGCATTGAAACGTTTCCTTACTACCATTACCACTACTACTACTACTACTACTACTACTACTACTACTACTACTACTATTACTACTACTACTAATACCACTACTATTACTACTTCTACTACTACTGCTACTGAAAGAAAATAATTTTTTCATTTGGATTCAGTGACAGAGCGCTCTGTTCTCTGTCCCAGGTTAAGATGCAGAAACATGTGTGCCAGTGGTTACATACTCGATTCTCAGGATTGCAAGACTTGTGAATGTGCAGACCCGTGTGAGGTTGGTTGTATCAAATTGTGTAAATGCGAGACGATGAGATGACTGAAGGTGCCTGCTACTGCCTTGCAGCGACCGAGTTCGAATGCAAAAAGATCCATAAACCGTCACAAGCTTTTGTGTAACGCCCTGTTATGTATGTACATCGTTGATATCTCTGGTAATAATGAATTAAGAGAGATTTAATAATAATTTTAATTTGCGCAGTGGGGGAGGCATGGTTCTCCCGCTTCCCTCTTTGTTATTAAAAATCAGTAAAACTCAGTTTTTAGATTAGAAAATTTATCATTTTCAGTTTTAGACCCGAATAGATATCACGAAGAACTACGCGCTATAGTTCGATCGATTATTTTTTGGAACGTGGCCCTGATATGATGAATGAAGCTGTGGTGGTTTTTGGCTAGATTCATGTAAGACTCATTAGCATGAACATGAAAATGTATAATTTATTGACGGACATCTCGTAGTTTTTGATATGTAGCATCTTGAGTCGACCAAACAGTTATCATTATGACAAATTCTAAAACTTCAGCATTTTTAAAATTTTGCCCCCCCCGTCAACGTTGTCCAGATCCGCCTCTGGCAGCAGCAGTAGTAGTAGTGGTAGTAGTGGTAGCAGTAGTAGTAGCAGCAGCAGCAGCAGTAGTAGTAGTAGTAGTGGTAGTAATAACAGTGATAGCAGTAGTACAAAAATTATTTTTTTAATGTCCAGAGTTTCAAATGTCCAGTGGGCAAAGTTTGCAAGGTCAAGGTCTATCCGTGTTTTGTGCCCCCGTGTCCTGTTATTCCCCAATGTGTGAGTAATGATGCTGATGGTGATAATGGTGATGATGATAACGATGATGATCATGAAGAAAATAAAATATAAAAATAAGGATGAGTTGTTTTATTGATATAAATTTTAATTAATTTTTTTCTTTGATAGGTCAATCAACTAATAAAGGAATGATGACTTCGTTTTTGCCAAAAATATAATTACAATAATAATAATATTTATTAATAATAATAATATTTATTATTATTATGGTCCAGCCATTATATAATATAAAACATTTTAGCATCGTTAATGTGTTTTATTTCATTTCGTCAATTACCTTTTTTCAAAATTAATTTTTCACAATAATAAATTAATAAAAATAATGAAATACTGAAAATAATAATAGGAATAATAATAATACCGCCATAAATCTTGATTCTCGTAACCAACAACACCGATGTTAAAACTTCAAAGATCTCTCTCCATATTTCCAGCACCAGTGTTGTAGCTTCCAACAATCGTCAAGTGTTCGTTTATCCGTAGGTTCTAAATTTCTCATAGACGAACACAACTACTTCAAAGGCAAACTCTGTTAAACGTTTATTTGAATACCAACAGGTAATAGAGACACTAAACTAATCCAAGCAACTACATCAATCGCATTTACGACTTCACTTTCTCCGCTTGTATTCAAGACATATTTAGAGTCCGATTTTAGCGTAGATACAATTTTACAATATTTCCAAAGATTACAAATATAGTAAAGATGACAATAATCAAATAATATAGCGCAATCCACAAGATTATTTCGGCGGTTATATGATAACATGATATAATGAAAGAAGAAAAATGAAATGAATTAAATTAATGATATATAAGATACAGGATGTTTATATTTGTGTCATTAATATCATCTTCATCATCGTCGTCACTATCCTTCGAGATATCAATGATAGTATCCGGAAGTTGGTTTTTTATGATCCAGCATTCCGTGTTGGGATTTCCCGGGAACTGCAGATTTTTCGTAACGGTCGTTGTTTCTGGAGATCTGTTGGAAAAATTGAAATGGTGTAATTAATAAGATGCGCAATGGCGTAGTGGTTAGGATATTTGACAATGATGTCACAGTGACCGGGTTTGACTACAGAGAGGTGAAATTTCGTGTCATAGGGGTTTTACTATCTACACGATACACATTTACAAATGTGTGTAACATTCCCACCAAAAGGATAAACGGATAGTAAATGAATAGATGGATGAATGAATGGATGAGTGAATGAATGAATGATAAAATGAAATAATGATGAAATGATAATGATTAAACATAATCATTTACTCATGAGTCATACTATTCCTCCCCTTAACCATAATAGCAAGAATCACAAGGCCGAAAACCAAAACACAAGTGACATACGCTAGCAAAAACCATTTTATCCAGTACCAATGATCCAGTATGATGATGGTTAACGATTCCATAACTTGAAAACATGAAATATTTATAATTTATAAAAGTTACTATATTTTAAATGCTAAAACTACTGCTACTACTACTGCTACTACTACTACTGCTACTACTACTACTACTATTACTTACTGTATGACATCACTGTGACGTCACTTCCTGTGGCGTGCGTCTTGGCGGTGTCGTCGGAAGTTGTCGTTACCATCTGTTCTGCTGACGCAATTGTGACGTAATCTTTGTCTGGTTGTTCTGAAAGGGTTGAAAAATTTTCTCTGGTATCTTCCGGAAGTATGGTCTCCTTCGTTTGTGACGCATTTGTGACGTCATTTCCGTTGAGGTCGTGAGTATTATTATTATTATTTATTAAATATTATGAATGACGAATTGGCGAAAAGGTAGAGGTCAAAGGTCATCTATGTAATGAATGAATGGAGTTAATAAATAAGTGAATGATTAGTATCTTCATGTTATTATTATTATTATTACAAGTCAATTTCTACAGCGCCTATTACGAAAAGATCTCAAAAGCGCTCCCTAAAATATGAATGAACAAAAAAGGTATTGAATCATGAACTGTAGAGAGCAAAAACAAAACTGGTCCTAACACTGATCTCTGAGGAACTCCTGTTGTTACCTTCTTCACAGCTGATAAAACTTTTCCAAACAAAACCTGTTGAGTTCGACCCGTTAAGTAAGACTCAAACCAAGCAAGTACAGTTCCTGACACCCCTAAATTATAGTGCAATTTTTCCAAAAGTTAGTCGGGATTAACACAGTCGAATACAGAAGACATATCAAGAAAGGAGAATAAAGATATCTTCCGATCATCCATACCGGCAAACAAGTTTGTCAATACACAAAGCAATGCAGTCTCAGTTGAATGGTAGCGCCTATAGGCCGATTGGTTGATTGGCCTTAAATTAATTGTTCACCGATAGATATTTCGTCAGAAAATCTAGAACGACACGCTCCAAACCTTTGAATTAAAGAAAAGTTTTGATATTGGTCTATAGTTGCTCACCTCATTTGCATCTGAGTTCGCCTTTTTCAAGATCAGTTGGATCATCGCATGCCTACAGTTGGAAGGAAATTTACCAACACTTAAACAAAGGTTTATGAAACTCGTCAGAAAACATGTAGATGAGTTCAAGTATCTTTTAAAGATATGCGTTGGGATCATGTCCAATCTGCATGTTTTCGTTGGTGATTTAAGTGTGATTTCCCTCAACTGAATACCAGTAGCCAGCTGAAAGCAGGAAAACGTACATGAAAAGACAGCACGTAGCTGAATATCAGGATCTGCTCTGCACCTGTTGTTTCAATTGTCCTTGCAATTTTATGATAAAAAATTTTAAAATTTGATCAGCATTTAGAGAGTTATCATCATTAAAAGAACTGCTTACCGAACTTTTACCCAACATCTTATTGACAACATGCCAGAGATTATTTTGATTTTTGTTTCTATTTACGATATTGCTCTAATAATGACATGGATCTGAAATATTACTTTCACACAAAACCAATATTTCGAGACCCGCATATGGCATTCCATCGACATCATATACTTTCTACTATATTGTTCATAGACCTGACATTCAGCAAACCAATCCTAACAATCCTCTGATAAACATTATAATACTCTTCGCCAAGTCTGAAACTTCCAAAATTTCTCTCTTTCATTCTCTCATTGCCATTCTCTCTCTCTCTCTTTTTCTTTATATATATATATATATAGAGAGAGAGAGAGAGAGAAAGAGAGAGATAGATAGATAGATAGATATATTATATATATATATATATATATATATATATATTATAATTTTGTTTTGAATGATTTCAACACCAGAGCAAAATATAATGATATTTATTTAAAATGAAATCAAACTATAAGATAAAGTATTTGATTTTGAAATAAAACGAAATAAAATAAATAAACAAAACTAAATAAATAACAAAAATAATAATGATATTAATAATAATAATATTAATAATAATTTTAGAACGCTGGTCCAGCTTCTTTTCTCTCATATTTTTTATGAACCTTAAAACGAAAAACAATCGGTGGTTAAAGTAACATGGGACCGAAAAAATTTATCAAAATTATCCATAACATTGTTAATATTCATAATATTTTCATTATATAACTATATAATTTAATATATATTATAATTATAATAATTAGGTAATAATAATTGTATGAAGTGGCGTAGCAAGGCATTTTTTATTAGAGAGGGCCAAGGTTGGGAACCCCATCCAGCTTTTTATTTCTCACACAAATTTTTTCGGCAATTTTTGTCATAAAACCAGTGTTTTTTCATCAAAATTAGCAGAATTTTATTTTAACGGAGCGGGCTGAAAAAGTTTCCAATCCAAATTTATAAAATGATTTTTTCAGGGAAAGATTTAATCTTGGGTAAATTTTTATTTAGTGTAGGGCGGGTTCATCCCGAAATGCCCCGCCACGCTTTGCCTCTGTCCCTGATTTTATAATTACTTACGCAAATTCTGCCAAGATTGCAGGGTGGGTACTTGCAATTTTCGTAGCCTTTGTCCACGCAGTATTCGCCGGGCGGGCAGTAATCTGGATACTCCTGGCCAATAGAATTATAAGTGATTGAAGTAATTTAAAAATATGCTGTAATAATAATATTATTATTATTAATTAAATTATTTGCATTGTCTTGACAAGATACTGGAATAATGTCAGAGTTATATCAAAGCCAGGGCCCTAAAAAGGAGAGGCCCCTTGTTAGGCCCTCTGGAAAATTTTTTTCTGTTCTTTGGTTCGCTGCGCCGCGATTATATCTGATTGGATCTTTCAAAAATCCGCATTAGCACAAACTTGATTTATAATTATGATCATAATAATAATTATAATAATAATATTAAAAAAAATAATTATTTTTCCCAACTCATTCTACCTGGCAGAGTGAATTGCAGGTACATGATGGACAGCCATTTGAAGACGTCTGGTAGCCACTCTTACATAGCTTGTGGCACTTCAAAGTCGGACATATCGAAGCTTCAAAAAATATAAATTCTTTTATTATAATTGTTAATAATAATTATTATTATAATTACAACAATAATAATAACTACTTACACACACACACACAAATACACACACACAAATACACACTCACACACACACTCACACACACACAAGTGAGAAATGACGTACATACTGTCGTTATGGCATAGAGGCACATCGTAGCAAGGCTCCTTGAGGCATTGGACTTTCTTGGGACTGCAAACTTGACCTCTTGGACATGCCCAGGTCTTTGGGTTAAAAAAAAATTTAAACTTGAAAAAATATCACCATGAATTAAATTATCACACCATAGCAGGGCCTCAGGCAAGCACACCAATCGACAGGCTGCAGACTATCCAGAATAAGACAGATAGACAAATCTTGAAAAAGCATACACACCTCGGATTCACAAGGATCTTGACAAACACACGTCATACAACCCATGTCATCCACCCTGAAGCCACTTTGACAGAACCTATAGCAGCTGGCACGGGGGCAGACATAATTTGGATCTTTTGCTGTTTTAAATTATTTTTCATTAAAAAAATTAATTTGATTAATTTTTAATTTAATTTTTATAGCGCTCTTCCTAAAAACAGGCATTATAAATAGCAAACAACACACGTCCATCATGCGAGAAGACTTAACTCGCGTTCGAAACCGTTCACTGACATTATGACCAAAAAAGGAAGCCACAAATCTTAAAAAATTCTCCCCCGGGTCAAAAAATCTTGCTATTCATGTACATATGCGGCCCTTCAAAGGTAAAATAGTTCTCCCTGCGGCCCTCACAGCAAAAAGTTTGCCCACCGCGGTTCTACATAAAAGTTGCATTAAACAAATGAACGATGGAATGAATAAACATATAAATAAACGAATTAATGGGAGAATTATTATTATCATTACTGTCATAATTACAAATTATAATTACCAACGTAATTATAATTAGTAATTATTATAAATTATATAGCTAACGAGATGTGCAGTGTGCCTCTGGGTAATCATCGGACCATTTAACATACCTGGAGACGCATTTCTGATTCGGATAGAGACATCTGTATTGCTTTCCAAATGAATGGATGAATGAATGAATGAATGAATGAATGAATTAATTTATTTATTAATTATTGAACAAATATACAAATAAATGAAGAAACGAATAAACAAATGAATAAAAAAAAATTATCTTTTCATATTTACCTCGCACGGATCGGTACACTGGCAATAGGTACATCCATTGCTGTTGCGTCTAAATCCGCTTTTACAACTATTCCGATCACATGCGATCATCGGACATATAGGCCCAATAGGATCGTATGGATCTGATCGGTTGGTTGGATGGTTGGTTGGGTGGTTGATAGATTGGTTGGTTGGTTGATTGATTGGTTGGCTGGTTGATCGGTTGGCTGATTGGTTGGTTGGTTGGCTGATTGGTTGGTTGGTTGGTTGGCTGATTGGTTGGTTGATTAATTGGTTGGTTGGCTGATTAGTTGGTTGATTAATTGGTTGGTTAGCTGATTGGTTGGTTGATTGATTGGTTGGTTGATTGATTGATTAATTTTTAAAATGAATATTTAGGACAAGGGCGCAATTCGAATGAATGAACGAACGAATGAATGAATGAATGAACGAATGATCAAATAAACAAACGAATGAATGAATACCAAAAGATCTGCTTGTAACCATGGCCACCATCATTGGTAGAAAAATGATTGCCATCTTTTCCATATTTGCCTGTTATTATAAATGAAATTTAATTTAAAATATTCATATTAAGACACAACTACTGCTACTACTACTACTACTACTACTACTACTACTACTACTACTACTACTACTACTTCTTCTTTTTTTCCTACTACTATTACTACTACTAAGAATAATAATAAATTAATAACAAAATGGTGATAATAAAAAGTAATAATAATAACTTCTTATGTTTTATTTCTTCGTAATAACAAAAAAGATATTTTTAATTATTTAAATCAATTTACAACGACAAATCAAAATCGATTTATTTATGATAATAAATATAATAACAATAATAATAATATTATTATATTATAATTAATTTTAACTATAATTAAGCTGTGTTTGGCGAAATCGCAATTTATACAATTTGGCAGTCATGCTGATTAAGCAAAAAATGTCGGTTGGAATGCAATAATAATAATAACGAATTTATTATTAATAATATTTTATCATTATTATTATTATTAACGTAATTTACGAAATAAGAATTTAAGAGCTGAGATACCTCTTAAGACATTGAACGTAGTTCCCGCATCCCATGAATGTGTAATTTAGCGAAACTCTCCCTTACTGAAAATTAATTATAGGAGAACAATTATCTGTGTGTGTGTTTGTTTGTGTGTTTGTTTGTGTGTTTGTTTGTGTGTGTATGTGTGTTTATTTATTTTGCAAAGAAGAGTTATTTTCAAGTCATTTGAGGTATTTTTTAGTTCAAGACGTTTATGGGATTTCCACTTTTGAAATAATGGAATTTTTAAAAATTTGATATGTGTACGAATGTACTCCGAGGTTTTTTCTGTTTTGTTATACTGAAATTCCTGGTATTGTTTCGTTGTATAGGATATAATATATGGTGTTAAGGCGTGATACCTTGTAATTTGACATATGATATAGTATCATCATCGTATCGTATCGTATCATACCGTATCGAAACGTATTTTGTGATATTGTATTCTATCGATACATATCATTTGGCATGATGTTCTGCGCTGTTAAAATGTATAGTTTATAATAAATTTTTTATTCTCTCTCTCTCTCTCTCTCTCTCTCTCTCTCTCTCTCTCTCTTCTCTTCATCTCTTAGTATATTGAGCAGAAGCATTCAGTCAGTAGCATTTCTAATATAAGGTAAATAAATGTTTTTAAAAACCGTAAAGCTATCAATATAGGCTCGACAAGTGGAGGTTTTTCTGAAGTGAAAATTCATTAATTGAAAGATTGAAAGGTGATTACATTATAAAAGGTGATTACATTATATTCACACACGCACGCGCACACACACACGCCACACATACACAAACAAACATTTACATACACACACAAACAAACACACACACATATATATATCAATTGATATATCCTTCATTTAATAATTTAGTTTCATTTTATAAAAATTGAATGAATATCTATACTGTACTAATATTAACAGTATTAGCAGTATTAATAACAATATAATAATAATAATATTATTTTTATTTTTATTTATAGCCGATATACAAAAACCATATTTGAAATGGTTGCCAACGTAAAGCCAGTTTTGAGAATATTCCTGTTTGCAATGGTTACTCTTACTGACGCTGCGGGTTCCTTGATTGTTCATACAATCAACCAATCAAACAATCAATCAACTAATTAGTCAATCAACAAACTAATCGATTGATTAATTGACCCATCCATCAATCAGTCTATCAATCAATCGATCGATCAACTATTCGATTCATCTAGCAATCATTTACAGTTATCCGGTCCGTCAATTAATCAATCTTGAACAACCAAATAATTCATCCACACAAATCAACCAACCAACCAACTAACCAATTGACCAACTGATTGATCATTCATTCACTTCCAGACAGTTAAATCAATCAACAACTAGAACATTAAAGTTTTGTTTACGTTTCGATACGGTATGACACGAAACGATACGATGATGATACACCAATTCATTCAATTGACCAATTCATTCACTTCCAGTCAGCCAAATCAATCGATCACACAAATTAATTAGCCAACCAACTGACCAACCAACCAACCAACACACCAACCGACCGACCGACCAACCAACCAACCAACCAGTAAATCACTCAACCAGTCAACCACTCAACCAATCAATCAATCTATCAATCAATTAACCTAGCGGTCAGCAAACCAGTTGTGTGTCCGATGTTGATGTGTGCCAATTACAACTGCCCATTTGGCTACGAAGTTGATAAATTTGGATGTAGAACCTGTTTCTGCAATGATCCTTGCGAGGTGAGTGAGTGAGTGAGCGTACAAATGGATGAATGAATGAATAAATGAATGAACAAACAAATGAATGAACGAACGAACGACGAACGAACGAACGAACGAACGAACGTCTCATTGATTAAAGTGACAAGCATTGCGTGCATCTACACATCGATTGGTGTTAATAGTAATGGTGTTGTTTATGTTATTATTAATTTTATTTATCTATTAAATTATTATTATTAATTTATTTATTAATGTTGTATTTGTTGAGATTATTATTATTATTTTCATTATTATTATTATTATTGATTGAAAATGCTATTATAAGATTTTTATGACGAGTTAATTGAGACTTTCTACTAAAACATGCGTCAGTTGCGTGTTCTAAAACAACAACAACAACAATAACAACAACAACATCAACAATAACAACTACCACTACAACAACTTACTAGATTCGAAAAATTAACCTTTTATAATATACGACGAGTAGGCTCATTATTTAATTACTACTACTACTACTATTACTACTACTACTACTACTGCTACTAATACTACTACTACTACTACTACTACTACTACTTATACTACTACTACTACACTGCTACAACAACTACTACTACTACACTACTACTACTACTACTACTACTACTACTACTACTACTACTACTACTATTACTACTACTACTACTGATACTACTACTACTACTACTGATACTACTACTACTAATACTACTTAAAAAATTTCGAATATCTTCAGGGATTCGTGTGCCAAGAAAATTACAGATGTCAGTCTGTGCAAGTTCAATGCATTATGGCTCCTTGCAATCCTGTTGCTGAATGTGTCTATGGTTAGTAGTAGTAGTAGTAGTAGTAGTAGTAGTAGTAGTAGTAGTAGTTGTTATAGTGGTAGTAGTAGTAGTTGTTGTAGTAGGTAGTAGTAGTAGTAAGTAGTAGTAGTAGTAGTAGTAGTTGTAGTAGTAGTTTAATAGTAGTATTTGTAGTAGTAAGAGTAGTAGTAGTTATAGTAGTAGTTGTAGTAGTAAAAAAAGTAGTAGTAGTAGTAGTAAAATTCTAAAATTTTCCAGATTGTCCACTCGTCAAATGTTCCACACAGTGCAGTAGTGGATTTCAGGTCGATGAGAATGGCTGCAATACCTGCCTGTGTGTAGATCCCTGCGAAGTTATTATTCTTCTTTTTTGTCTTTTTCTTCTCTTCTTCTTCTTATTATTATTTAAAAATAATTTTTTAAAAAGAAACTACTATTACCATTATCATTATTATTAAAATATAATTTTTTAAAAGGAACATGTAGCGGCAAATAATTTTTTTTTTCAAATTTCTAGGGGTACGTTTGTCCCGCCAACCAGGTTTGTAGAAGCGACTCAAACCAGCCCCAGTGTCTTTAGTTAGCGTAGGAGCTTAAAGTTGAATTTGTTTTTTTCCGCCAAAATAAATTACAATGTAGTTTTATTCAGTTCGTGACATATGGAGTTCATTAACTTAATAGTTTGTTTGTTCGTTCATCCATTCAATCAATCATTCATTCAATCATCTTAATTCACTCCTTCATCCATTCATTTTCACTCATTCGTTCGTTCCTTCATCCTTTCATCCATTTTCATATTTTTCCATTTCTAGGTTGATTTTCAGCGATAAAACTCTGAAGACAAATTTGATTGGCTGACTTTTGGCGCGAACTATTTAATTGACAAATTTGGCGGGAATTATATTTGCTTGTTTGACAATCTGTTGGCGGGAAATATTTTTTTAAATTTAAACTTTATTTGGTTTTATTTCTAAATAAATTAGATAAAGGAGATCCCAACGATTTTAGTACCGTATCGTATCGAAACGTATTTTAGGATGGTGTATCATATCGTTAAATGTCATTTAGTATCTAGATAGATAGGGTTAGGGTTAGACAGACAAATAGACAGATAGATATATAGAAAGATAGATTGATATACTGTTGAACAAAAGAGAATTTTAAATTTATTTTG